TGGTAATATATAAAATGGAAAATCCGCTCGGGCATAATAAGTATATATCGGTATAAGAATGTGAATAGTCGTCGACGAATAAGCGGAAGATCGTCGCTGCGGTGAACAGCAGGAGTAGCAGCGCATCGGCTTGATACGCTACTCTCGCACACGATCGATTTCTTTATATCTGTCTCCGCATCGCACCAGAGATCGTCGTCGTCGTCTCCGCGCGCGCTCGCGAGCGCATCTTTCGACAAGGGGGAGAATGTCGTAACTCGGATTCGTTAATGAGCCGAACGACGACGGCGGCGACACGTCGATCTCGGCCAGTCACGAGTATAAATCGTTTTTTCGTGAAATCAGTCGTCTTCGTCGTCGTCGTCGTCGCGCGCGATATTTTGCACCTTGCGAGGACGAAAGACTTCTTAGGGAGAGGGACTTGAGGTTCCTCAGGAACTTACTCAACTCTGTACTGCTGCTGCTGCTGCTGCTGCAGAGCTACACGTGGATTGTCACTCGTCGACGGAGACGACACGCGGTGCAACTTTGACTCCTCTTACCGATGTACCAGTGCGATTCCCTCCTTGAGTCGCGGCGGCGCGCATTACCTAATTTTTGCCGTGCGCGTGCACCAACGCCACCGCCAACGCCGTGCGCTCACAGGGACACGCTGCCGAATGCCCGACTATACTATATACTACAAGCTTTTACGATCTTTTGTCGGAGGAAAAAATTTCGAACGCCATGCGAACTTTTAAGGGTCTTTCGTCAGTTTCGATATTACTCGGCTTAAATATTATAATAAACCCCTTAGTGGCATTATTATGTGGCATATGGAGACGTATACGCCAAGCAGCAGCAGCAGCAGCAGCAACAACAACGGCGAGCTTACAGACACATATACACAAAACGACAAGAGAGTCCATTGTTATGAAAATCATGTATGATTTATGAACATCAAAGTAAACCGCGTCAAAAACATAATAATAGCAATAACGAACAAAACCGAGGTCGCTATAATAGTTACCCAATTCCGAACTGCTCGTGTGCATACTTTGACTGCCGGTGAATACATGATGCGCGCAAACTTATGCATAAATCCGAGTAGTACAAGCTACCACGACGACGACGACGACACCGTTTTAATCAATAGATTCGTTTAATAATGAAATTTCGTTGTTGGCAATTCCGTGTGTGCATATTTATCGCTCTCTCACTTCTCGATTATTATCTCTCTGTTTCGCGTAGTGCGTAGTGAGCCACACACACACACACAAACACACAGAGTCGAATTCAATTAAAAATTCACTCGCGCTGCAATGCGTACATGACGTTATATTGTGTAACGCGCGAAGGGTTCATAGAAATGCCTTTTCAAGCTGAATAATTTGCGCGGGTATAAACTAAAGTGCCTTCACAAGTGTGTGTTGTGTGTCTTGATAACATCGACTATTAGTCATTTGGTCACTCTCTGTAAAGGATTTACGCAAATACGGGAGACAAAAAAAATGATCTTACTATTTTTCTTTTAAAATAATCAAAAGAAGAAATATGATGAGTCAAAATGGGCTTATGGTTAATTTTGCTTCGTACTAGACTCCCAATAAGTACAGATCAGCTACAATGCATCCGATGATGTTGCACAAGAGGGTGGATGTACAAAAAGTAACCAATAAAGAGCCTGTGCAAAGAATTTCATTTAGATTTTTTTACGAATATATCGAGGGCGATTTTTTTATTTAAAAATAAACTTGAAAAGCTTGAATAAACTTTTGTCGAGCATATTCAGTGCTTCGCAATAATTTGTTATAAGAGGAATAACGCAATAATATATATGTATAATAATGCCTAGTGAGAAAGATGATTTATAATGCGCTCGGTAATATTTCCTATTTCGTGTAACTAGGACTCTCGAGATGGAAAGCAGCTGCTGCCGCCGCTGCTGTGGCGACCGCCGCCACCGCCACCGCTTCTGAAGATGATGATTCGCTCGAAGAAATCGTGAACATACGGAGTTTGATGAAATTCCATAATACATACATCCACGAGCAAAATAAGCAATAACTATCTCGAATAAATACATAATTATAACGTACAACATTTTCCGAAGCGTTATGGATTTGAAGCAAAATTTCATAGAGATTATTCTTACTTGCTGGCAGAGCGTATGTATAACGAAGTCAAGATTTTCGTTTACCTTTGATGAGTTTGGCACACAAGATTATAACCATAGTAACAGACATTAATAGTATCAAATTTTTTAAAACTGTGCGTTAACTTATAAAATTATTTTTACTTTTCCACTTGCAGATTTTTAGAAAAAGGTAATTGCCCCCTAGCGGCGAAGGCTGACTTTATTAAAGATACAATGAAAAAAATCTTACAAGCAAATCCAACAAAAGTGGACAGCTGGATTAAAAAAAGATATTTTGCTGCCTCATCAAAATTATTGGGTAATATTTCAATGCTAAATTTTGCTAAATTGTTTACTATAGCAGCAAAATATCTAAGGTTTTTTCCAGTGCAGACTTTTTCTACACGTTTGTGCATTTGACGAAAAAAATAAAACAGAATTAAAAAATTAACTTTTACCCAAAAGTATAATTTTTTTTTCATTTTTTTCTATTAACATTATTATACCCGGTTAAATTTTTATGCTTTTTTTATGAAGAAAACTAATCAGCGCTGATACTCTGCAGATTTCGTGTAAAGTTACCTTGAATAGAATTCAGCATCTTTAATTCTAATCGTGTGATTTACACGAAAGATGCATTAAAGTAAGGACCTTTTAACAGGACAAATCAAAAATCCTAAATGTTTTTCTAATGTCACGTTCGACTCATTCGAATATATTCACCAAATCGACAAATCGGTGGATTCATTTCTGCGCTATTCTGAAAGCGGTATAGAAGAAAAAACACTTAGACTCTATAAGGGGGCACTTATGCCGCGTGTGAAGGGCAATTACTGTCTAAACGTCAAATTGCACGCGATAAAAATTATCCATTACAAAATATGTTTCCATCGATGCCTTCGCTTATAATACGCCGATGCGTTATTATTCCCAGCACACAGACACACATACAATCGTATGAGCGTAAAACGACGCAAAAGCCATGTATAAATCTTCGCGTTCATCTGGGATTTGGTAATTCGCGTCATCTCTCGTATATGACTCGCACACACACACACATACATATATCGCAGATATTATACACGTTGGTTGGTATTACGATTTCGACCTTGCGGTGGTGCGCAGCAGCTCTCGGCTTATAAAATATACAATACATCCCGCGTGTAGCCGGGAGAGATGCTCCCATACACGATGCATCTATGTGTGTGTATATGTATGCACACACGACATTTATCACGAATATGCCGCTGCCGATGCTTTGCTCAACACGCGAATGTCGCACGCGCGCAAACACATCGATACATATATCTATATTGTTGTAAAGCTAACGAAACATCGCCGCGATCCTGTACTTATAAAGGTCTCGCGGATCACGAATCCGTATGTGTACAATTATGCCCCCGAGAGCATACAGACACAGCATCAGTGGCAGATCTCTCTCTCTCTCTCTCTTTCTAGTCTCTCTCTCGTGCGCGTGACAATAATGATATGCATAATCGGAAGCTAGATTGCGCTCACAAACGATCATAAATCTGCAGTGTAAAAGATGTTATTACAGCTCTGGGACCTGTGCGCTTATACATGAAATAACAGAGCTAAATACTCGACGATGCGTTTCGAATTGCTAATGTAGTTTTAATGCACCATCGTCTGTAATTCGATTAGTGAGTTGGAAGTGTCACTTATACAGCTATGCTATGGATGCCGTACTCGTAAAGCTGTACGATATCCTTTCAAATGCATCGAGACTGCCCGAGCTTACAAATCGATGAATGTAATGAAGGCATTATGGCACTCGAAATCTGCAAAGTTAAAAATATCTTCGCAAAGATCTGACTCTCGCTGTATACTGGCCCACACGTTCCGAACAATTGGATAATTTTCGAGCATGTACCTGCGCGTTAGTACCCCGGGCGCTCGGTTACATATGCGACTATCAGAGCGCGCAAAGAGATGCACCTATTATTATATTGTTGTGTACGTATACATGGGCCACGTGCGGCGCGCGCTAAAATCGCCGCTTCTTCGTTCGCGCCTCGTTAAAACTGATGCAATGGTCGTCGCCGCGTCGCTATTTTGCGCAAACCCCGGCCGATGCATCGCTTCCTCATATTCTTCTCTGATGAAATATAATACTCATGAATCAAGTTATAAAACGTATATTATGCGCCATTAGTCCTGAAACGTGGCGAATTTTTATACAACATGGCCGAAAACGATCGCGCAGTTTCAGAAGAAGAAAAAAGAACCCTGATAATTCATCTTGTTGATGTCGTGAAACATGCGCTAGTCGAGAGAGAGTAGAGTAGAGTTGACCGAAGGATATCAAATTGATATTCGAGCTCAGATCGCTGTGAGATAATGTACCCTAGCGTTACGCAATATATCACTAACTACGAAAACTCTTGTTTTACAAAAGAAAAATAAAAGTATAAATGTTATATCACTCAGTAAATAACTCTAATACAGAAGGGGGAGGGGGACCGTTTTTGTCGGCACGTGAAGTCACGCGCGATAAAATTGCCAAATTTATGAATTATTAAAGTCATTACGCGCGGAGATCCACGAGCGTCTCGCGTCGCTGACCAGCGCCGCCACTGCAAACGATCTGCTCGCTTTGTTACGGTCGAATTGTTTTTTACACGTCTCACGGTACACAATATTACGCCAATTGAGCTGCGGATCACACGAGTATACGAGGCGATGTTTCATCGATATAACGATGAGCGCAAAAAATTCTTCATAGACGCCGGAGCAGAGAGACATCTTCGAATTCTAGTGCAGCTGCACGATGGTGTGGTAACGATCTTTGCAAGCTTGTAACGTCTTTAATATTGAAATGAAATAAGTATAAATTGAAAATGTTTTTCAAATGGTCATTTTTTTATCATTAGGTCATTATTAATGTTGAGAATTTTCACCAAGTAAAATTGAAAAAATATGTAATGTGTATAAATTGCTCTATAATACTACATATTGTACTACATTTGTATTTGTGATTGTTAATGTGATTATTTAAGCGTTCAAAGATATCAAGGCCGTAACAAACGACATAGCCATGTTTGAAATCTAAAATTTAAAAATATATCAATCAATGTAAAATTTACTGTGGTGAATAGAAAATTATAATACTTTGCTTGAGGTTTCGTAATTCATAGGAACTCCAGGTCCAGCCGTCATAACGCATGGTTTCGAAGTTCTCAATAACATCATTAATAATAGAAGTCTCGCTTTGGGTGGAAACTCGTACCAATTACATGCATAACTAAAATACAAAAGCATTAGTAAACTTTTAGACTCTTGAAAAAATATAAATCTCGCAAGCTGTGACAAAACCATTTTATCCTTAAATCTTCGCTAGCTATAACTAAGATTTGACTGGGATAGCTAATGAAAATTAATAAAAACAAGGATGCGAAAAATATAAATGCCATCCTCGCCGTCGTTGCGGTATCGATTTTCATTTGTAATACTACCTGAAAGAATTGAACGCATTGGATGTGCTGACAAATCAAACGTTTTTTTTTCTAACCTCAGATCCAGATACACTAAGACTGAATAATAAAAGGGCCATAATCGTGAAAAGCACTACTTTGGAATTATGATTCAACATCTCATAAATCCTGAGAAATAATTTTTATAACACAAATTAAGATGAATTTTTAGTTACAATTAAAATTGAATTTCTATCACTCAACTTTATACTTTTCTGATGATAATTAATGCTAATCTTAAGTTTATTGCAAATTTCTGTGGAATTGTCGTTTTTGTATCCATTAATCCTTAGATCTTGAATAATTGAATCCAGATTGTGTCTTAAAATAAGATATAATTTAAAAGAATCATTGTGAATATAAAATATTCAAATAATACTGTATAATTACCCTATGAACTCAAATATCGCAATGATGACCGATATTACCCATATTTCAAAGCCATTAAAGACACTGCATAACATTCCTGTTAAAATTACCAAGTAAAGTGCCACTAAGAAGTATACTAAAAAATATTTTTCCTCGTTTATAAAAAGGTCTATATGAATACAAAGAGCCAATTCGTGAGTGTTATTATGTTCAATATAGTTCAAAAATATTGGAAGAATTACAGGAGACACGAGGAATCCAACAAAACATCCGAATATCATCACTGCGAATGACAAATATTTTAATAAGAAAATTGTCTTAAAATGAATAAACATAACTGAAAGTTGATGATATCAATTAACTACTTACCTAGATAAATCGTAGACATTAAAACTCCTCTCTTATAGGCATTTTCCATACGATGTCTTGCATTTGCTCTAGATATTTCGTAAAACACGTCTTTTACTTTTCCTAAACAAGAGTAAATCTTGAGACGATAAAGAGTAAAAACATTTTTCAAGAAGAAAATCGTTTTATTATTTATTTTGAAATGTTATAACTACCAAATGGTCATAGGTCATGCTTGCAATATAACAAATTAAGCACGTCATCGCCGTCATTGTTTGAAAAATATAGTCGACGTATAGCGTAGTATTTAATTGCTTTTCATTATAATGCCTCATGAAACGCTTTCCCTGGCAAATTAACCCAAATGAAAAATTGATAAGTACACAAGGGCGAACAAATTTAAATAATTTGATATACTTACACCTGACATTATGAGTAATGTGTAAGTTATAACGATGCTCAATCTCGAAGCGTGTTTTAATTTTTTTGGAATTTTGGGCCACAAAGCCATTCCGTATAGCATAAATGTATTCCAGTAATTATACTTGAAGCAAAATTCACTGATGTTCATATTTAAAATGTCCTTGTGCGTCATTTTTTCGATTGACATATTAATTACCATCCAATGTCTTTTATATTTGAAAATTGGAAATTTCGAGGTAATATTTGTGTCAGAGTTGACGATACGCATCACTTATGATATCGAGTATGCTTCTATCGTTCTGGCTGCTAAGGCCGAAGAAAGCAATATACCGTAATTGTGCATGACTCATTTATGTGACGAAATTCCATGAATTTATCATTTTCTAACGTGTTGACGTAGCAGAGCTGTATGAAGGTTATAAGAGCACAATTCGATTGATTATTCTGCTTTTGCGATTCGTAGGTTTGCTGTAGCTATATTTATAGTCAAAAACCATCACATTGGTGTGTTGACTGCAATATTAAGTTCATGAAGCAGTGGATTATACTTTCCATTATACAAAAACGTAATTATCATTAAACATGAGATTATTATATTTTTATGTTATTGAGCATTAAATAATGTTAGATGCATCGTATATAATTTGATTATTTTATTGAAGGAATAATTTTATTCTTTTGACTACTTTGAATTATTTTTGGTTAAAAAAGTTACATCGTACGAAATTAATACTAAAGGATTCTTTAATTCACGAAGCTCTATAATATTTACAACAGCACATTCATACATCTAGGTACTATTATTCTTTCATTATTTTGTTCATAAAACTTGACTTAATGGTCAATGATAAAATATATATTTTTCAAATCACAGCCGGTTGCATCAATATATCGTAGCGTAAATTAATTTTGCAATAACTATTACATAAAAGTTTTGAATGGTCCTCTTTGTGCGTATCTTTATACGTAAAACATGTCCAATACAAGTGTTATTACCACAAAGGTTAAAAATATCACTTTTCTTTTTTAAAATCTAGTTAATTAAAACTTAGCTTTTTCTTCTTCGTCACTCTGATCCCACTCACCGAAACATTTACTCAATTGGCCTCCAAAGTGATGCAAGTAATTGGTAAGGTTTCGAAGGATTCTTTCTGTTCTTTGCGAATTTAAACTTACAGTTGAAGTTATAAGTTCGTTATCATTGACGTCTTGAGAAGCTAATTTCCGATCCTGTTCATTCTTCAGTGCTAGAATAGATAATTCAAAATCGTGAAAAAATAAATACGTTGTCAAAATTTATTTTGCAATCATCGAAAATTCACACGCACCTTCGATCTCTGCGTCGTCTAACGTTAAAGCGTGCATAACCAGGAGAGCACCCGCCATACCGAACAATCCCGCTTGCTCGATTTCTTCTAGGAACCAGTCTTTCTTGGAAAAAAATCGAAGATGTTCGTCGCTTACATTGAGTGAGCTGAGACTATGCCTGAAGTACTTCTCATACGTTTCGACAAGTTCGTTGACGCGATCTAGCACTTCAGGTTTGCAGGACGAATAAACGAAGTAGACAAAGTCAGTCGCTGGCGACATGTGCCTTATCACCTATACGCAAAAATAGTTCATAATTTTTATACCAAAAATGACAAAGTCAATGAATTTACCTGATAATCGAGAAATTTAACGCGCAAAATTTCCTCGTGGTTATCTTGTAAAAACATAAGATTATTATTCCATAAGTCGCCGTGGGTCAATGTCCAGTATTTGCTGTTGTTTTTAGAGGGATCTATCATACTTCTCAATGCATTGTACAAGTCTTTTTCGAAAAATCTCAAAAATCGCAACCCCCTCCTAGCTTGCAGGCTACTGTCTGCTATCGTTTCAAGACTTTTTTTGGCGGTATCAAATCCTAGTTCGTAAAACCTTCCAGGCGATATGTTGTCGTCCATCGGGAAAACGTTCTCTTTGATTGGCGCGATGAGCTTTGCAAATTCTTCTGGATGATTGAGCTTGTAGCTCAAATAAAAAGCGTGCATGGATGCCATGGCCTGTTAATTAAATAAAAAAAATGAGAATAATTACATTACAGGTTATTGAATCTAGAAGCACTAACTTTCACGACTTCATCGGTGTGTTTAAAATCTAGAAGATCTTTTCTACTGAGAACTACATATTCTCTATCGCCCAAATCTTCCAAAATGATTTGATCGACAGTTGCTAAGACAGGTTTTGGAGCAAAGCTCCCATTTATTGGATAAATATTATTATAAAAGTATGCCTCGTTTTCAAACATTTTGTCATCTCTCATCTGTTTCGTCAATTGATTTTCATTTAACCGTATCTTGCGTATAAAAGAGCCTCGGTACTCTAAAATAATAATAATGAATAAGTTATTGAACCCTAAACACCGCGTAACCAATAGATCAATTAAACAAAAATTACCCGAGCCATTTTTTCGTTTTCCACTGACAGTTATTCTATAAACAGCGGACAAGAAATTGTCGCCTAATTTTGTGGCAAGCTTTTCCTCTGCTTTCAATAGTTCAAGGTGGTCATCTTGCTCATAGTCTTGCAACAATGGCTGGAGCAGTTGAATTATGGCTGGAAATGCATAAATGCAGGAATTTTTTTGTGTATTTTATTATTGTAGTCTTTACTCATCGTGCCAAAACATAACTCATGTATGATGACTGAAGAGTATTATAGTTAAAAAAACTGAAGGCCAGGAAAAAGCACGATATATTGCTTTGCTAGCACTGATCTGGACAACGAGAGGCTCGTTCGGATCACTTCCGTTGGCAATGGCCGTATTACCCAGTGTCATACATATCTATATTTACGCTGTGTGTGAGTGTGTTCGAATGATCAAGACCTAGGCTTTATCTATGCGTACGTCTGATTAAAAACGTGCATATGGTATTTACATGAATGTCGTTCAATTCTAGAGGCACTAAGTTCGCAATAATTTATGTCGAAAAGTACGAAAAAAATCAGGTTGAAATGCTCTATATTTTATGGTTCTAATGAGTGTTAGTCTGCCTTGCTTTGAGAACCGTGCCTTAACTTATACTGTTATTTTTTATTTGCTACTTGCAGACTTACACTTAGAGGTACTCGCCATCTAGTGGCCAAGATTCAAAGTGGTATGATCTCATACCAATTACATATTTGTAACATAATTATAACAGAAAAATCGCCAAAAACAAGTCAATTAATTTTAATATACTTGGAACATTTTCAATTTCACATTTTTGGTCATTAGGCTATTATTAATACTAAGAGTTTTTACAATGGTAAGAATATAATAATTTTTGTAACCGTGTAATTAGAATTTAATACTAAATTCTAAATTAATACTAAATGTACAAAAACTATCATAGTTTGTACAATCAAACGCTCGAAATAATAAGTAAACCGCAAATACGAGCGGCAACTCGTTAACTCGTCAAGAATTTCAAATCATAATAGTTAATGTACACGACGAACGATTTTAAGCTCTCGCGCTCGTATCAAAATTTTCGCAAGCTCGCTGCCGCCTGCTGATGCACAAGGCCGGCCGGTCAGCTTGTGCAGTGCTGCATCGCGTGTGCGTTATGGCCCATACGTCACACAATGTCGAGCGCAGCCACATTATATTTATAGCGAAGCGCACGAGCTCGCTTCGATAGATATAGATAGCTGCGCATAGAGCACAGCCGCGACATTGAAAAAGAGCCGCTAGCGGACGCGCAGTTGTCAGCGTGTAGTTTAGCTAAGTCTAGTTGAGTGTGTGCGTGTGTGTATTTCTATAGCTATCGGCAAGGAGAATTGAAAATAAAAAAGATGATCGAAGGTGTTTTGTTCAATGTAATGATTGATAACGAATGGATTTGTTGAAAAAAGTATTAATACGATTGCAGCCGACAAAATGATTAACAAAAACACACGCAAATGGATGGGTAGAATAATATTTGCTCGAAGAATAATTATACGAATTTATTCAAAATTCGAACGGTATTCACACATAAGTGCGCACTCACTTAATGCAAGCAATAATTATAGGTATGACATAAGTAGTTTGTGGATGCAAATGCAAATTTACTGACTAGACTAAATAGCATTACCTTAATGAAACATCTGCAAAAAATGCAAACTTTAATAATACAATAGGTAAGTAAACGTAGAAAAGCAAACTATATCAAACAAGTGTTTTTAAATAGCGAGCGAGTGCGTCCATATCGTCCATGCGATACTGGATCATTAATTTCTATATTGTTGATTTATAAAGTAAATATGTGAATGTAAAAGATCATTACAACATGAGATTTACGAATCTTTTTATAATTTCCAGAAATATTTATTGGCACAGATGTTGTTAAATCCAACGATAATATAGTTGATTAATGAAGCAGTCGTTATGGAGCTTTTGAACGAGTGACAATTAGGCCAAGATGAAGAGCATTCAGACGTGTCGCGCTCAAGACCAGAGGTACAGTCGCAAGTTCAAGGCCACACGCGTAAATGTATAAGCACGCATATCGCAAGCGCATGTCTTCACTCATATGCGCACACTTTTCAAGCTCGTACCTGACATGATTCTTTAAATGCTTCTGGCCCAGTTGGCGGATGAAAGACGTTAAGTAAAATCACGAGTAAAGTCCAGTAGATGCGACTGCGCAGCTTTGCTACTTGCAACACGTTTTAAGCAACTCCAGCCCGGTTTTATTATATAGCGATACTTCCTCCTCTTCTTCCTAGATATCATCGGTGTTGAAGCGTCGAGATAAAGCCGGTGTAAAGTGTGAGTATGTGTACGTGCGTGCAGAAAATCTGCAAGTTAGCGTTTATGTTCGAGGAACATGTGTGGACGAGGAAGAAATTTCGACCAAGAACTAAGAAATTCGAGTTGAAACAAAGATCAGCACAGCAGCAGCGAACGAGCTCGATGATTATATCGTGCCTAACGCATCTACAGATGCTCGAACGACTGGTGGCGATGATGTAGCTTTAAAGTATAACTACTAGAATACCGCCTATTATTATTGTTGTACAACTGGCCAATATAGCGCCAAACACTGACAAGCGCACAAAGTCTTGATCTATGAGAGTCCGCATGCGGCTAATAGTCATTGTCAAGGTTGCCTGCCAAGTGCATATAGACTCTTCTCTATGTGCGAGTCTGTGCTGCTGCCAATGACGCGAAAATCGTTATTGCATCGACGGTCATCTGCTGGACAAGTTTTTTTAGCGGAAATTTTATCGCTAATGAGGAAAGCTTTGACAAACGAACTTTTCGCGATGACAGTGCGAATGAGATTTGTTTAGACGAATTCGATATTCGTTTAGACCTGCGCAGTTGTAAATTTAAAACTTAGAGTTTTGTTATATCATAAAAGTGATCATTGACCTTCTTTTTTACCCGAATTTCGGAAAAATTATCATAATCAACCTTAAACGTTTTTATAAATGTTTAGAGTAAAAAATCCATTATCGATATTTTTAATAAGTAAAAGCTTAGCTCATAGATAATTTTCAATGACAGATAAGTGTGAAATAGCTGTAAGCAAACGAAATAGAAAAATGTTTAAACTCACATTTCTTGACGACCGATCCGTAGATGTAGCAATTATTTTCGATTTCACCAATGGACAAAGAATCAATTTTCGCATCAACCGATTTACGAAATCGAGCAGCTACCAAATCTTTTGTCATGGACAAAAAAGGATCAAGTCTCCTTTCGAAATGTAGAGGTATAATAGTGCACGCAATAAGTAAACAACTATTATTGCTAGAAAATTTTGAAACCCCCATTGATAATCAGCGATCAATTCGATCCTATTCAAATGTGTACATACCCTCCAAAAAAACAGCCCGGCACAATAGCCGCAATGACAAAACCACGCCGATACTCAGCAGAAATTCGCCTCATATCGGATCTCTCGTATGCGTGCGTGTGCTATATAATAAAGTATTATGATGCATAAACCTTATGTCACGATTACGTCAAAACGGCTCAGCCGCTACTCCACGTGCGCGAACGTGTGTGTTCATTATTACATAGACTCTTTTGCGGAGCTGTATATTATTCCGCTATAGATTCGATCCCATCAATCATAAATAGGCCCGGGCGCACAGTTTTCGCGAACTTCGGCTCGTGGCAGCCTGGTGCAAAAAATGCGTGTTCTGCCGCGCTCGTGTCGGGCCTCCGACGTACGCACACGCGTGCTGCAGCAGTACACGCTGCACACGCGGTGAGAGGAACAACGGAGCCGAGGCGAAGCGCATCCGCTTACGACACCGCCGCGCGTTGTGTATAGATAAAAGCAAAGGAGCATTGTTCCGATTCTCTGTAAGCTGCCGTATTCAAGCAGCCAAGACGGTAGCATCTTTGTATTTTTTCCGTCTCTCTCTACCTCTCTCTCTCTCTCTTTCTTTCTTTCTTTATATGTATGTATGCACGTGTACGTGTAAACGTATACACACACGCGAGTACTTATATATATACACATATTAGTATTTTGCACTCGTTGCTTTGTATATATAATCAGCCATTGCAGCTATTGTGTAATAATATTAATGGAAAAAAAGTAGAAGAATGTTGTTCCAGTTTTGCACGAAATACTTTTCATCACATTGATATTTGTTATTTTGGCATTCAGAGATCTTTTTAAAATTTTCATCTACGTAAGTGTTTACCATTTGATTGCTATGAGTTCAATCAACGATATATCTTGAAATATTTGTAAAAATGATGGCATTGAACTTGCAGTGCAATGATCTCGATGTTTATCACGGGTTTTCTAATCTACAGTTCAAGGTAATGCATCTACTACTCTTTCAATATTTTCCATTAATCAGACAGAAAAAATCAAAAACGTATGATATGCCACGTTGTTAGCGAACAAGAGCAACAACCTAGATGCTTATCAATGCGTTTAGATTTTTCTGTGGCATTAGAAGTGCATGACATATATATTGCAGTTAAGACAAAAGAGATGCGAAAGATCGATAACACGATAGCGTCAACTAATAACTAACAACTTGGGCTCGAAATTATTACTAAAATATGACTTGACTAAAAATATCAGGCATTACTTCAATGCAATTAATGTTTCTCTAAATATCTACAAAATCGTATACCTAATCCAAATGATGTTTACATCACATACTTTCCTTCATTTTTCTTATAATAGCCGATACAACATTTTATGCTAATAATTTTTTTAAGCATTTGATTTTAATCTCAGAAAAATTATCATAATTTGATGTGTCTAATAAATACGCTAATAATAGTAATAATGTTATATTAGATTTTATCTCTCAATACCAGTATCATAAAGCATTTAATTGTTCGTATTTTACACAGCTCAAAGATGTCATTCACCTGCATAGAAAGATCTCTAGGAAATTGTCTTTGTCATTGTTGGAGACTTAGAAGGCAAAAAAATGTCGCCGTGATTCGAAAAAAGTAAATGACCCTTTTGCATACACGTGCTCATCGTACTCGACCCTCGAGCTAAACATATATATTATAATACCGAACATAAAATCTTCTCAAGATTACGCTAATATAACTTTCAACGATTTATCTTTTCATGCTAATGACGAACGTGAAGGTATATTTATGTGCATGATCGTGTTCGACGTATCTCCATTACATATTTACAAGATATCGCGCGAGGGGTACTGCCACAGCACGCGCCTCTCCTGGTAATGGACGATCGTGCGATTGAGCAAATAAAATATGATTTATCATTTTCATGAAAGTTCAAAAGAATAGCATTAATTTTCCAACGCTTTTCGTCTTGGTACACATTGTGTTTGCGTGAAATTTATCTACTTTTTCATGACATGACATTCAAATATGTAATTACAATGTGCAGTATGAATTAAAATTATTAGTTCAGCTTTGTAATGTAACAAATGAAACTCGTTAATTCATAAGTGAGAGGTAATTTTCAAAAAATAAAAAAGCCTAAAACTAACCGTAGTTGTTTTTATAAAACTATAATTTGAATCTCATCATGTTTGTAAACATACAGTTTCTAAAGTACAAGTACAAAAATACTGTTTTTTGTTTCTACACATAATCGTAGATACACGACATTAAATATAATAATTAACTCATTGTGGTTTTATGATTTTATTAAAAAAAAATTAAATAACTTAAGTACAATATCTTTTGTGAAAAAAACATAATTAATCACGTAGTGCTTTGAGATACTCAATAGCATTTCGTGAAATTAATTTATAAGCTTTTTTGATATTTAAATAGTTCAAATTTTCATTATTGGTAGCCTATATAGCGTTAGGAACAAATATCAACTAGATAAATTTTGTGAAATCTTCAAAAAACAATCGACCGGACTGATTTTAGCAAATTTTTAAATGAATGGTACAATTTTTACGAAATTTTGATACAGTTTTGAATAATTTTCCTACTCATCATTAAAATTAAAATAATATAACACCATAAATAAAAAAACTTACATTATTTTATAGTTATAAGCTAAATTTAAACCAATTGATAATTTTTATTTGAATATCGTCGATCGAATTGATCCATTTTTTAAAGAATACAACGTCGACTAGTTTTCGTAATCTAAAAAAAAGTAGACATTGAATTTGTAAAAGTATCTAAATGACAGAAAATTCAATTGGTCCATTAAAAAAGCACTGAACGAATAAAAGCAAAGTCAACGATGAACAATCGCAGCAAGGGGATATATGAACGATATACATTATTTAACATACAATATTATTCGTAATATTCATCGATACAATTATTGCGAAGATAATGTTCGTGTGCGAACTGGCTCTCTTGAGGGGGAGGATAAAAAGTATAAAATAAAATAAGAAAAAAAAAACGATGCCTCGTCTTTACGGGCGTATTTACAACGATTCATTTACACGCTTTTCTTGCTCTCTCTCTCTCTCTATCATCGAAATTATTGGAGCCTTCTTCAGTCGGACTCTGTTTTCGTCTATTATTTTTTGTTTCACTGTCTCGCGCTGTCCCATCTGTGATTCCAATTCAAGCCGTCAGGGCCAAACTCGTTCAAGTCCTCGTCGTCGTCATCGTAATTGTCCGGGTCGTAGGTCCGAGCCGTCGACGGCTGCTCCGTGTAGGCCGAGACGGTCGTTGGCTTCTCGCTCGGGCCGGCGGGGATCTTGTTGAAGCTCGCCGCGGAGCTTGGCTTGCCGGTTATCGTGTCGGAGACCAGAGTCTTCTTGACGCCTGGCACACCGCTACCCGAGCCGCCGGGCAGTCCACCGGCCGGCCGTCTTCCCAAAAATTGACTGGGATTTCTCGAGCGTTGCTGCTGATGTTGTTGTTGTTGTTGTTGCTGCTGTTGCTGCTGTGGCACAGGGGTGACGCCAACGGTCGAAGTGATGACTGAAGAGGCTGGTGTCGTCGAACGAGCAGGATTGTAGGACGTAATGCGTACGGGACTGTACGAAGTCACGTGAATCGGCGAGTGCGACGAGACAGCCGGACGAGCAGCAGGCGTGGTCGAGTAAGAGGTCGACGCGGCGGTCGTTTGCTGACGAGCCTGCACCGATGCGGGACTGCTCGAGTAACCCACGGTCACCACGGCAGGCTGTCGGGCGGGGGTGCTCGGATACGAGACGGTCACCGGTCTCGTGGCCGGTGTCGTCGAGTACGATACGACGCTCGTAGCTCGAGTGATCGGGCTGATGGTGCTCGAACGAGCTTGAATGGACACCGGGGCGGGTGTCGTTACTCGCACGGGACTACTCGAGGCGGTGGTCTGCTGTTGGTGCTGCTGGTGCTGCACCGCTGGAGTGACGTGCACCGGTCGCGGGATCGACGACGACGTGAACGATTGCTGCTGCTGGTGCAGTTGATGTCGTTGCTGCTGCTGCTGTTGCTGCTGCTGTTGCTGCTGCTGTTGCTGCTGATTTTGCTGCTGCTGTTGTAACTGCTGTCGTTGCTGTGCTTGCTGATTGTTTAGCTGCTGTTGCGCGTTCTGTTGCTGCTGTTGCTGATTGAGCTGGCGTTGTTGCTGGTTCAACTGCTGTTGTTGCAGCTGCTGCGTTTGCTGCTGCTGTCGGTTCTGCTGAGTCTGTTGCTGATTCTGCTGCTGCTGTTGCAGCTGCTGTCGTTGCTGCTGCTGTTGCTGGAGCTGTTGCCGCTGCTGCTGCGCGTAGGGCGGCACGTGTGAGCCCGAGCTGCTCGTGGACAAGTCGCGATCATGCTGATAAAAGTGGGCGCTTTCCTCGCGAATCAGGAACGACGGAGTCGAGTACTCCTGTTGCTGCTGCTGGCGCTGGCCGTTACGGATGCGCTTGAAATCGATCATGTCGATGGTGCGCTGACGCTGTCGATCCGCCTCGTCATCCGTGGGATTCGAGAAAACAAAGTCCGGCGGAGTGGTCGTGCCCTCCTCGAGGGTCGGATCGAACGTGTCCTCGTTGTAAATTATATTGGCCTTGTCGTAGGGCTCGGTCGTCTGCTGATACGGTTTAGTCGTTTTCACGGCGTTGTTGTTGTTGCTCGCGTAAATGTTGATTTTGCGATAGTAATTATCGTTACGGCTCTTGTCGTAGTAACTCTTGCTAATGGTAACGTCCTTCTGATTTCCATAATTGTGGTTCGCGTAGGTGCTGGACGTATCGTGATTATTCTCATACTTGCGATTCTCGACGGTCACGTCGACGTTATTTTTATTGTTGTTGTAATTGTTCTTCTGATTATCGAAATTGTTGTTATAATTGTTATTGTTGTTGTTATTATTATTATAATTATTCTGATTATTGTTGTTGTAATTGTTCTGATTATTGTAATTGGCGTTCTTGTTATCGTAATTGTTGTAATTCTGATTGTTGTTATCGAAATTATTGTTATAATTATGATTCTTGTAGAAGTCGTTGTTGTTATTCTTATTGTTGTTCTCGTTGTTCTTTACGTTATTGTTGTTGTTTTCTTTCTTATAAACGTCGCGATAGTAATTATTTTCCTGCGGCAGGGGATTGATCTTCTCGGTGCTCTGATACTGATTTTCAAATTTGACAGTACTGTAAGCTCTGGTCGTGACCTTGGCGTTGAAGGTATCGTAAGCTTTGCTGCTGTACTTGTTGTTGCTGTTATCTGACTTGCTCGAGCCCTGCACCAAATTGTTCTGATTTTTTCCGTTCTCGGACAAGCCGTTGTTAACGAAGAAAGCCGGGCCGTCTCGATTTCTGCAAAAGTATAAAATTTAGCACGTGAGGAGATACATCAATATGTATAAAATATAAATCAATCACGAAAATGAGATTACCTCACGAAGCCGCGTGCCTCGGCATGGGCCAATTCCTCGTTATTATCCTTGGAGAAACCGCGAGGAGTAATGTCCTGAGCCGTTCGCGAGCGATAGGTCGTCTGTCGAACGTTTCCGTAATTGTGAGATCTAGCCTCGGTCGTGGTAGTCGACTGCTGTTGCTGGAAGCTGTTCTGGCCATTGAAACGTCCCGCGTCGTTACCACTGTACGTCGAATCCTTTCGACGTCCATCAGAGTAATTATCAAAGCTTCCCGTGCGCAATTCACCGGCTTTCCTTACCCCGGAAACTATCAAGTTCCCGTTGTTGCCGCTCGATGATTTCTCCTTCTCCTTGGTGCTATCGGACCTATTTAGCGTGGGTGAAATACATTTCAATACTTTAATTGGCATGCTTATAAGGAGTTCGAAAGTGATGGATGAGCAGTGCATTAAATAGTTGTCAGTATAGATCTATACGTTTACGGCTTTCATACAAAAAAAAGAAACGATGTTTCGAATTGAATATAGAAAAATATCCAAGCGTCAATCTCTCTGTCTGCGGTTAACCATTTGTGGCGTGCGAAACAATCACTTTATTACATTAGCTACATCTCGGCAACGTTCGCGTGTTGAATCATGTATTTTTTTTCATCTCAAAGCTATGTTATTTTTGATGTAAAATTTGTTGTAATACAGAATCAATGATGCTCATTACCACTTTTATTGGTACATTGAATTCATATTCGCCTATGAGAAAATATCGCGCGCGCCCGCTCTTCGATTGATATTCAATATGACGAAAGGTGCGCGGCGCGTGCATTCTCCGCGCGCAGCCAATAATAACGTGTAATTCCCCCGCAACGCGTCTATACACGGAATCCCAGCTGGCACGCCAATAATCATGCGCAATCGCAAAGATCGCAAGCTCGCGTCAATTGTTTAAATTTCAATAAAGAGCCATAAGTCAAACAGGCACAATGTAACCAAAAATTATATGCTATAATAACCTACAGGTTCTCACTTACTGTTTTCATTGAAAAAAAAGGAAAAATTCGCGCCCAGCCCTACTTCTTATAATATGCATTACCGCAAGAATTGGATATACACTTACGTTTTTAAGGGTACGTAATCCTCGTAAATGAGATTGGCCTCGTCCCTCAAGTTATTGGTGTAACCGGAACTGGCCAGCGACAGATCGTGATTGCCGCCGCTCAGCGAGTTGGACTGCAGAGGGGCCAGCGAGTAACGGTCCTGATGATCGCGCGATCGCTCGGTGGTGCTCGTCGCCTGGGGCGGGCTCGGCGACGTGGCCCGATTCCTCGTCCGCTGAGGCTCGGGGCCCGTGCGATCGTTGAGGGCGTCGTTGAGCGAGTACAGATCGAGGGCGTGATCGCAGACGAAGTCGTACCACCAGTCGCAGACGAAGTGGCGCTGATTGAATATGCTGCCGCTCGGGCACAAGAAGGAGCTCTTCGAGCCTTGGGTGCTGCAGACGTGGAAGACCTGCGAGAGAGTCGCGTAATGTGCATAATATAGTATAACAGGCAAAAGTGATTGACATATACGAAATGTTTTTTAGTTTTCTATGCGTGTGCATATACATTGCCCCGGGGGCAACAACTTTTCAATCTTGAGCAACTCTCCGCTGAGCGATGCCACGATGGCGCGAGGTAATATAACGAGCAAAAATATCGTATGGCCGGGTGATATTATTTAGAAAGAAAGTTATGCACGCATTATGGAGGATTAAATTCATGATGCGGTAATTATTTACACGCACCAAACGTTCATAGCCATGCGTATTATGTACAATTGATTGCTCATGCGGCGCGCGATACATTATATCAGTTAAACGCAATACATTATCCAATCAGCGCGTGATCTTATTGAAAATCCTCCGTATAGCATATGGCACGCTCTTGGCTGCTCGCGCGGTGTAATGCAGTGCAGTGCAGCATAGATGCCAAATCGCGTAATCTCACTCCGGCGGCTCGCGCGCGATTATGAAATTGCACGCATGCAGGGCCTTCGTTTGGGGGATTAGTGTCGAATCATCGATATCTCGAACTTGCACACACGTACACATGCGCATGCATGCACACGAGTCTTGCGCCGTATTTACTTTCTTACTCTCTAATTCAAACGATCCAGCTCTAGGCCTCGGCGCGATTGCATAATGAGCATGCAGAACCCCATAATGCTAAATCAAACGCGAGCGAATTGGAAGCAGAAGGAGAGGAGAGAGAAAATGTAAAATTTCTTCGTTAAGTGTGTGTCGACATTTTATGTATGTAAAAGATATATTATGGCTCACCTGACATCTGGTCTCGACGTCGGCGTAGTAACCGCCGGGTGTTTTTCCAACGCAGGTGAACGACGTCTCGGGTATGCTGGTTAAATTCGGATAATCCCGTCCCGCAAGACCTGGCACCGAGTCCTCCCAGCCATTATCGTCGTACTGATCGTCTTTCGATCCAGAGTCGAGCTGCTGCTGCTGCTGCTGTCGTCGTCGTTATTTTTTTTGTTGGTGCATCCAGAATGACAATGAAAACAAATCATTTAAACGCTTACATATATCTATAATACACGCGAGCTCGAGCATGTCTCAATCAAAAGTTATTCCGAGTGCGGCGGTGAAAGTACACACATGCACATGCTCACGAAGAGATGCGGGGAGCAAAAAGCAAAAAAATAAAGGAAAGATAAAAAAAAAGGTATACGCTCGACTACTCGCGAGAATTCGGAATGCGCGCGCGACTTATACAAGTGTCCTATCGCCTTTAACGCGGCTGTAACTGCTGCTGTTCTTTTGACGTTATTTGCGGGCAAACGGCTTTAGAAAACGATCGTTTCTCGTGACAATTACAACAAGCAGCCACTCGCGCGCGAAGCTTTCAAATTTACACCTACTTGGCGCGGGCCGTCGTAAAATTGCGCTGCCGCTGCTGCTGGCGAATGCACGTCAGCAACGACGCGCAAGCCGACGGCGACTTTTCCGGGATTTATTTTCATACCGATCATACGTATAAGTGCGCGCACATAAGTCGCGAGCCTGTAAGACGCGACGCGGCGCGCACCATTATGTATCATACAGCTTTGAAATTTTACGAACAAAGTACGCCTCATTAGATAATCGGGAACAACTTGGAAATGCGTGTAAATTATTATTAAGAACTTTCGAGCACAGACAAAAAGTAATTTCACTCTCGGTTTCATATACTTTGTAACATCGATCCCGGTTCACGGCAAATATTTACAAAACGCTCGACTGGGCGCGATCCATCTCTTCTCTCTCTCTCTCTCTCTCTCTCTCTCTCTCTCTTTCTCTCTAGGTAAACAAGAAAGGCTCGAAGAATTCGTATTATGTTGCAACGATTAAAACTACGTACGGTTTTATCTGTAAAACTAATTTTCATCTCTCCCTCGACGTTCCTCAAGCCTTTCTTTCTCCCCGTTAAAAGAGAGAGAACTACTACTACCATCGCGTCGAGTCAAAATAACGAACATACCTTAGAAACCGGAGCGCCGGGGCGCAGAAAAAGCAATTTTAATTCAATCCCGATCTTAATTCTACGTAGCAATAATAATGCAGCATCGGTATACTGAACTAGTCTATGTGTGTCTATAGATACGATGCACTTATATATTATATATTATATGTAGGACCCAGAAATAGCAGAACACGAATTCTTTTGAGCGAGCTGTGCAGTGCGCGCGCCAGGCGGAATCGCACAATGGAATCTGCCGACAAATCGTGTCTCGCGGCCCAAAAATGCCTCTCTCGCGTATATATACCGACACAATAAATTCTTCTCTCTATCTCTCTCTCTCTCTTTGAGCTATAGAGCATGTACAGTACGGCCTTTATAATAATATTAGATATATATATGAAGTGTGCCCCTAACGTGTTATGTGTGCTTGCGCAGTTTCACAATGACAAAATCTGCACGATATCTGAATGCCGTAGCGATCAATCATCTTCATGGAATAGAAAAAAAAATGAAAAAGAAGCCGAATACCTATGAAAATTATCAAGGTACAATATATGCTAAAGTAAAATATGCGCGAGGTTGAAAAAAAGCCTAGTGCCACCGTTGCAGATACAGCGAAAGTCCCTTTTATAATTCGAACTTCGATCTTCTTTCGTTCGTACGTATAAATTGTATACAAGTACATACACACACGTATACGAATGAATATTATTTGTTCGTCTGTACATTGAAACCGTTGAGCTGCGCGGGGGGATATAAACATTGCGTCACGTGTATAGCATTATAAGTGCACATATCACACATAGAGCGCGGCGGCGACGGCGCTCTGCACAACGAAGAATCCTGGATGCATGCGCGCGAGCGAATATTTTCTATATATAAAATAAAATATGTATAGATATATACATTTGTAAGTGTGTATGTACGCGCGAGAAGTGAGTGTGTAGCAGAGCTTACAGCGAGAGCGCGCCATGGAACGTACCTCGTCCTACGTCTAAGTGTGTGTGTACGAGAGCTTATGCAATGTGAATGTATCGGCGGAGGAGCTAGCTCATAGCACCGGCGCGACGGCACTCGTGCACACATGCACACACACACAGATGAGAACGAGAAGAGTGAATCCTCTTTCTCTTTCGCGAAATAGCCGACAACGAAGACGACGACGACGGTACGACGACGTTCTCGAGTGCAAACCGATATAATGCCGCATCGCTCCGATACGTACTACATACATGTGCCCGCGTGCAGTTTGCGCGCCTGTAAATAAATTTACAACGGGCTCGACTGCGACGACGACGACGACGACGACGACGACGAGTTACACTTCTTTTTTTTCAACGTCAATCGCATGACTGATCCTTTCGCGCTCACGCTCTGGCGCGCGCGCGCTGCCTATTAGTGGAAAATCCCCCGCGACGAATGGCGTCTCGAATCGTAAAGCCATTAAGAGAGAGATTTATAATATATAAAATATATCGGAGCCACAAAGAGGCCCCCGGGGAAAATGAATTTAATTGCAACGCGTACATACTTATACTATAGGTACGCGCGTACGTAAACCAGCAACGGGTCAAAGATCGCGAAGAGACTCGAGCGTACGCGAGAAATTATGTCACCCTCGCGCGTGTGTGCTGCTGCTGCTGCTGCCAGCACACGATCATAAACCACGCGAAGAAAGCTTCGGGCCTTTAACACACGTGAAAGTTGATTAAAGCGGCCAAATTATACCGAGACGAGAAACCTAAGATGAGTCGTGCTCGAATGAATCTGTGTGTGTATGTGTGTGGCTGCGACGAGTATGCGACGATCTCAGCTTATATGCTTCTACGAGGACTGCAATTTTTACCTATTTATCCCCGCTCGATACGTGTGTGTGCACGGGTCGTCCGCGCGACTCTCTCATTTGCCTATAGTGCACTGTCATTAGACTTTTTTCTGCCATTTAGGTATTACATATATTTTGTGCACTCGCAAACTATAGAGAGAGAGAGAGAGAAAAATGTTTACGTATACTCATTATAGGATGCTTCCTCCGCGGTTATACTTTAGAGGGGGTCCCCCGCTGAAATATAACGACGCGTTCGGAGCGCATACAAGGCGAGAGAGAGAGTCATTAAAAGAGTGCAGCGCGCTGAAATTCATTTTATAACGTTTCGCACTCACGCGTGCACCGCACCGAGACCCCCGCTTCGCGCGTCGGAGGAGAAGATTTTCGATTAATCATCATTAAATAACCGTACCGTCAGAGTTGCTGCAAAAAGAGCCTTAATATGTAGCACGCTCGATTCGGCACGCGCGTCTAGCATCGCACACTTCTATTTTTCTCTTTCGCGGATGTACCGTGGATCGGCGGGCCAATCGGGTGAAAATTACATCCGCGCCAGTGCTGATTTGAATTTTTTGCGTCTTGTTTCGCGGAGGTTCCGTTCTTGTCGCATTTAATATTCGTTACGCAATGCATAGCTGTGCTCGTACAAATTCCTCACGAAATTTCGGCACAAAATTTCTTTATCGATTAATTAAGCGCCACGGCTTATAAGAAGCCTACTGCAAATGTGCAGTAACACAGAAGATACATGCCCTTTCGGCGAGCTGGCTCTCGCGATTATTCCATTATGCTCTTCCTCTCACTCTCGATGATCTGCGCCGCTCGACGGCGGTAGCGCAGCCGGTTGTGCAGAGGCGCGCCGAGGATGATCGTTAAAGGTTCGCGCGCGTAACGTCACGTAGACTAATGATAGCTATAGCGTACTGCTGATCCTCATGAAAACGAGGCTCCCGTTAAAGGCGCGAGGCTATAATACACACAGAGTGCCGCTATAAGCGCGCGCGAGCGAGTGCATAATTTTTGCGATAAGCGCTCGGCTGTGGTATGCGCGCACTCGAGTATACGTATAGCAGTAGTGTATGGATGTAAAGCTCTTACCTGCTCGGCGAGGACGAGGCACCAAGCGATCGCAGCGCAGACAACGATTACGTTGATGGTTTTTCGCGCCATCTGTTTTGTCTCCTGCAGTCAGCCAGCCAGCCAGCCAGCAACACATGGAACGTAAGAAGAAATTTTGTCAGAAAATTTAGTACGTGTGAGCTAATGCACCACTAAGTATTTATACGTATATTATGCGGGTCAGAGATTGCGGTTTCAGATAGCTCTCGCTCGCTCTTTCTTTCACACTTTGCCCAAGAAACGGCCAATTTTCGATTCTCGCACAATGTTTAACTGCGTGCTGTATACGCTATGCCGCAATAGATAATCGCGCAATACGCGAATTTTCATCGACCTTTTACGACTCTTCACACCCTGTACCAGAATCCGTTCTATGCGCGCAGAAATCGTTTAATTCTACTCTCCAACGATCATTCCTCTTCTTCGCTCTTTCTTTTTTCGTTACTTCATCCCTTAATTAATAGCCCAGGTACATGTAATAATTACTCTCGTATCTCGCGAGCGGTTTGACTGATTGCCTTTTAATTACTCCGGGCTACGCGTAAACTACCTGCACACACACAGCAAAGCTATATGACTCGCTCGTATAGTTACAGCGCTGCTCGCGCACAAATTGAATTATCTCACACGCGGAATCTAATCATCGTCTTGAGCTGCGCGCGCGGGAAAAATTATGAGCACTGTTAAAGCCGTAACAAGTTTGAAAGTATCATCGTCGCGTATACGGCTGCAACAAACATATGTGAAAGACTCCGCAGCACGCGGAGACGCGGAGAGATGATCGTGCACCGCACACCGTATATATACACGTCTATACATAAGCGTTATCCAATCCTGTATACATGTGTGCAGATATGCACAACTGTGTGAGTGTGTTTGTGTGCTCGTAGGTGCACACACACACACACACACGATTTTCCCTATAAGCCATTAACACTTTCGTTCGGCTGCAATTTTAATTAAAATCTTCAATTACACGGTATCATTAACATAAGCGCAAAGTGCAACTTATACTATATGCGACGCTCTCTCGTATGTGGCATTACAAAATACCGCCAGCGCACACACACACACACACCTGCACACATTATTGTCTAATCCCTACGTGCATGCATAATCCCTTGCTAGCCGTAAACGCGCACTCGTTCAATTGCGCATCCTCCTCAAGGCCTATGTGTACTCGCGTGAGTATAACGAAATTAAAAAAAGAAAGAAAAAGAAAAAGAAAATTAAAAAGAAAGAGAGAGAAAGAAAAGAGTCTCTCGCGACTCCTACAACTCTTGCAGAGATTCGTGTGTTGTAGCGTGAGCGCAAGTGTGTATTTGTCAATGCACGCGGAGACGGAGTAGCAGCAGCAACAGCTCGTTGCCGCGCTTGTCTTCGTCGTCGTCGTCGTCGTCGTCTTTATAAGCCTATGTGTCAATGAATTGTTCGGGAGGCAGCTGCTTTTATATGTACCCAGTCATTTGATTCTATTATAATGTATGTTTAATTCCTCGCGGCACATGAAAGTATAGAGTACATATATATGTAGATGCAGTTTTGTCGTTGTTGTCTTCTTATTTATTTTTTTTTATTATTTATTCTATCAACAGACGTACACAATCGAATTCGCGAGGATCTTATGTGCAGCCCTGCGCCCGCGTATGTGTGTTAGTCTAAACTAGGTATGTGTATATAAATTATACACATATATTTCTTTATAGGTATGTATATTTTTTCTTCTTTTTTTTTTCTTATCGTACTCAATGAAAAGTGAAAGGATGCATGCCGCATGACTATATGTACACACACGCGCGCGCGCAGCCGCGCTCACAGAAGGAACATCCGAGAGGCTCACTCTTGCATTTTCATATGGCAAATCATGTAACTTATTATATTTCGTGTATGTCATTTTCTCTTTCTTTCTTTTTTTTGTGCAGAAAGTTCGTAAAGAAGAGATTTATTCAATTGCTCTGGAGAAGCTCCGTATCGTAATTGCCGGGCCAATTAATTGAACTCGAGAAATCGCCACACTCGTACAAAGGTATATTATCAGGTATATATACCGCGCGAAAAAGAGTAACATCCGCGTATACTCGTGCTTATAAACGCGCGTGCGTCGACCGTACTCGAGAGGTCTCTCTCACTCTCTCGCGGTTATTATATAGTGCAAGAAAAAAGTGATGATCCTCGCACGTTCCTCGCGAGCGAGCTGCACATGCATCTGACGCAATACAAGCGGCCCGCTCGCGCGAGCTCCGATCTACACATGCATAATGTTTCGCGAAGGCAGAAGGCAGAAGCGAGCGAGCGAGTGAGAGTAAGAGATGGAAAATAGAGCGTTGCGCCGCCGAGAGTGCATCGCTGCTGCTGCTTCTGCTCTATACGATGTACATAAGGGAACTCTTGCATAACATTTCTCTCTCTCTCTCTCTCACTCTGCTGCTCTTCTATGCTCGCGCGCGCGATCCTTTATAATATACGCGATGTGTATCACCAGCGCGCCATCGCTTCTGCCTTTGCTCTTTGCTAGTGTATGTGTGTGTATATAACTATAGCATATACGTATACGCGAGAGGACACGAGGAGCGCGCAAGTATAATATAGCCTACGACTCATCCGCCTTTCGCCGTGCAAGTACAGTACACACACACACACGTACTAGTAGAGGCCGCCTTGCCGTAAGTGCATCGCGTAGCTGAAGCTACGAAGCAGCAGCAGCAGCAGCTCGAGAAACTTTAGCCATGAGCTTATGGCCTAATGCCGGAACTTGATGATCTGCCAGTCCTTAAATTTTTTTTTGCTTTTGATTTTGCCAACCCAGGATAGAGAGTAAATGTAAGTACGTCGGACGTGGATGCTGCATATAGGCTTCGTTTTTTTTTTAATGAATTATAATTTTTTGTCTGATAATCGAGCGCGTGCGCGCGGGGGTGGTGACAGGTGAAAGTGCTTGATTTTCTCGCCTCTGACCCGCTTGCCACGGTACCTAAGCTATATATAGAGATATGAGCGGCGCGCGCAATGAATGAGATGAGCTTGATTGATGGCTTTGGTAATTGTGTGCAGCGTATCTCTCGAGCTGGAGAGCTCGCACGCGTGAGCAAGCGGAAGAGCAGCGAAAAATTGCCACGTTCGTTTTTCCTTTTTTTTTTTCGTACTGCCGATCATCGAAACTACGCGTGAATACCTATGTGTGTTGTAGCCCCGCGCCGATCCGATACATACATACATATCTCGCTAAGCCGCGAAGAAATGTACCGTACGCGTATATTACACGGCTCAGCCTTTTATATCAAGCAGAACAATAGTTATATAATTTCTCTCTTCTCTCTTCTCTCTTCTCTCTCTCTCTCTCTCTCGTTCTCTCTCAACCTCGTAGCCGCAGTAGTAGTAATAGTAGTAGTAGTAGTAGAATGCTCTTCTTATTTCGCGGGGCTCCATGCGCATATATATACATACGCTCATTAAAAAAATGTTACTGAATAATTGACGCTCTCTCGCGTGTGTGTGCATGGCTCGAGCTCGAGCTCGTAGCTTTATCCTTAGAGCTGCGAGACGTATCATCGCGCGCACGCCTGCGGAGGATCGCAGCTCTTATTGTTTAGCTCTGTAGCGCAAACGTAACGTAAACGCGTGCATACATTATATGATACTATGTTTGTGCGCGAAACGATGAGCTGCACAAGTTTGAAGTTCAAAAATAATTTTTGCTCGCGCGCGCGCCCCGAAGAAAGTCTTGCGCTTTCTCTGCTTTGCTGTGCGCGCTTAACGATCATCGTCCTTTCCAGTTTTCTCAGTATTCCATAATTCTTTTTTTTTTCTTTAATATCATTTCCAGCCGGACGCACTCGCTCGGTAGTGTTTGTGTATGCATTTGTGTGTCGTAACAACACAAGGCCCCCGATATGCATAAACGAATCTCGATAATTAGGATAATTAATAATTCAGCTTTGCAGCGATCGATGAAGATTTAGCGGGCATAAAACTCTCTCGCGGGTTCTTTCTTTCGCAGATATATATTGTGCTTAATGAAATATACTTTCCATACATTACGTCTTGTAAAAGGTGTATATAAACTATTTGCCCGTTGGCACTCGCCAAGTCTTAGAGTTTAGCGCAGCGCGGCGGCCCGTTGCGTTACTTACTATGCAGCGAAACACATACATAATGAACGGCTTTGATGAAAAACCTTTAGTTATATCTACACAACACACAACCAGTTTGGAATTCTCTCTTTCTTTCTCTCTTCCAGCCGAAAGCTCGTTAATAATTTCTTTACTCGATGATATTTCTTCTTCGATCTTCACTTATTAGGTTCCGGCAGATGTATAATTTGTCGAAACTTTATGACTCGCTCGAGAGCTGCGGCGCGGATCGCGCGATATATTTAGCCGATACATGCGGCCGTGTGCTTTCGTAACTCGATCGTCGAGAGTAACAATAAAAAAATTTTTTCGTCCAATATTCGTAATGGTTTACGAGTTTTGTGTGCTTCTTGAGCTTCAAACGTTTAGCGTACGTTGACAAACGTGAAACTTTAATTTATATGGTCGATATTTTTGTTACTTGGATTCTCGAGGAGCTGTGTTATCAACGAAAATCGAATTTCCCAAACGGCATGTAATCGGAGAGAATCGCGGCAAAGTGTCAATAAGAGGTAATTTATATTGTCACGGATGAACTTTCTCGCGCAGGCGATATTGTCGCCTGCTTGGCGCGAGTTCGCGCGCAGTTAAACGTTCGCAATCCACCCAAAATCTTTGCACGGGTATAGCGCTTACGAACGATCTCGAGGAGCAGACAAAACGAGACACAATGTGCACACGTACACATATATATCCCTTGAAATCTAAAACCAAAATCACCAAGTCGCGGCTTGCGAGAGAGACAGAGAGAAAAAGATTCGTGGAAAAATAAAAATAAAAGAAACACACGAGCAGACGTAGCTCGCTAATACCGTATGTGTATACGTGCGAGCTAGCCAACGACGTCGATCGAAAATTGATAGATTTTTTGGCTTTCCCTTTCAGCCTCACACGTGAAATTGAGATTAAGAAAGAAGGGAG